AAGGAAGGAAGGAAGGAAGGAAGGAAGGAAGGAAGGAAGGAAGGAAGTTGGAGTAATCAGGTAAAGTGCAGAAAAAAATAGTAAGCAGCTAAATCTAGTTTTGGTCAATACCATTCACCATACACTACTCATGCATTCTATTTTAATCTTTAAACCATCCTTGCTTTTATGATGTCAGTAGATTGACTTTTCTTCTTTAGAAAAGTCTTCTTTTTCTTTGAGAACTTCATGAACTCCATTCAACCATAACAGTCTTGAGTTTCCTCTTCTTCTCAATACACCACTATCCCTTCATGTATTTGTTTTGCAATTTAATATTGCATCCTAATTCAGTTTCTATACACCCATCTCTACATATTTTTGTGTTGATCATTCTTTCCTGTATTCAATCCACATTGATTCAGCACCTAGTTTTACTTAACTCTATTTTTTCTTGTTTTCCACATAACGTTCTGAAATAATGCATTCCCACTGTATATCCAACACTCACACATTTATTCCTTTGACAAACATTTATTTCTCTCAACAAACACATAAAATCCTCTTTTACCATCATTTACACGTCTAGCATCTTCCCAACTTTAGTAAACATTCTACCAGGCTACATAAATTTAGATATTTGCTTTAATTTTTCACAGTGCACATATTACTAGCAATCATTTACTCCAATAGCGGTGTCAAACATGACTACCTTGAATTCTTATCCATACTCATTCCAAAACAGTCTAACAAATGCTGTAAATATTAGGTTCATTGCAACAAGTATTATTTTGTAGTCAAGGTACACATACATCCATGCCCTCAACAAACCAAAAACTCTGTTTATACATTTACACAAAAATAAATCAAACAATCTATTGGACATTGTTGTATTCTTTCCTATCTGTGTTCAATGTTGAAGCACTTATTAATCATTTCATTAAGTCTCACACATTCATTGTTTCTTCATATACTGCTCTTGTCACATTCAGCATTCAACTTTCTACTCCATACACATGCAAAACATCCTGTTATTCAAACCTGTTCATTTCATATTAAGGCTTTGAGCAGCCACAATTTTCACTTATCACTCCAAATAAGAGAAAGTTATCAGCCTTAAATTATACCCTTGCCATATGAAACTCATTCTGTTAATGATAAAGTCATACTACCAGCTATACCAACTATAGTCTTTTTGCCAAATGTAATTTTATTTCAAGGATGTTCATGTTAGGATCTCTAAAGTCTGCTTTGCAAGCCAACATAATATTGTCTATCCCACCAACCAGAAATTATGTGAATTGTCTTAACACTCTCAAGATATCTGAAATATTATTACAATTTGCTCTGAAATTTTTTTTCAACAAAAGCTTTTCTATCCAGGCATGGTGCTCAGACCTGAACTAAAGAAAAGAATTATTCCAATGAAAAACACTTTTTCCTTAACTGGATTTTACATTTATTGATTTCCTCCTCTCTTTGCATTTATTTATTTTCCTCATACATTTCAACAAACTATAAATTGTCATGCTAGCAAATTGACCAACTGCAGTATAGTTTGCCTCCAAGCCAGAACTTGAATGCACAATTTTGGAAACAAAAAGTGGTTCATTTAAACCAAAAGAGAGTATAAAAATGGGATGCGTGGGACAGGTGAAGGAGAATTGGGAACATACAAATTAAAAACTCCAAAATAGCCACCTTGTACTGCAGCAATTACACCTAGGTCGTGCTATTATTTCCCAAAATGTTACTAAACCAAAGCTGAGGAGCAGAAACTGTATATATAAATTAGAATTCTGAACTACAACATGCATAAGAATAAATTAAAAAATAAAACTTGAGTTCCAAAACATGGTATTCATTGCAATGATTATTAGAAATAGTTGAGATTGACCCAAGCATAAGGCATGAAACTCATATTCTTTATTCAAATGAGCAATTATGCAAGTAATATGACCAGATTGCTTCAATTACACATCTGTTAGATGCTCAAATAAAAATGCTAAACTTCGCATGTAGATGCTAATTTAATAAATCCAAGTTTTAGAGAAGTCTGGAGTAAATTAAGGTTAGTGATGCTTTCAGAAATAAATTCCATATTCCACAAATAGTTGTCCTAGATGATATAGCCATAGGACATCTCAATAATTTAAATAGGAATATTAAGCACATGCACACACCCCCAAAATCCCTATTAGAGATATTCACTAATACAGCCTACACAGTTGGGAGGTGGGGAAACTTTTCTTAAGGCAGATTGCTTCTTTCCATTAACACTAAGCATTTGATAGGCTTCTGCTTGTCGAATATGAAATGTTGGTCTGATATAAAGGCTATTTGGAATATGACAGTTTTTGTAAGCAGTTGGTTCACAAGCCCTGTGACCTGGCTTATTTTGTTCCTAAGTAGCTATAAAGACATAGTTGATTTATTAGTTGTGCTGAATTCAAAATCTTTCCAGCCTGGAATAATAGATAGAAATAGTTTTGGGGAACGGCTGTTGGACTTCAGTAAGTGAGAAATTCCTATGGTTGTTTAATTGAGTGCAGTTTTATGCAACACCATTATCTACTTTTGTTGTTCTGTTGATTCTCCCTGTTTTCTTGGTGGAATTTGGAAAACAACTGTAGGAAAAATATGATGAAGATAGTGACTTTTGCTGTATTCTAATACCTTCCAGATGGTATACTATATTAAAATTAGGGTCGTGCTTAAAGGCAGCTTTACTCTTTAGAACTTGAGATTAATTGATAATTGATAGATTAGATAGTTATAAATGATAGATAATAGGTAAATGGGTAGATAATTGATAGATATACATTATATAGATATAATAGTTGATATATATGATATACATATATACTATATATATATGTATATACTATATATGTGTGTGTGTGTGGGTTTGGGTGTGTATGTGTGTATATATGTGTGTGTGTGTGTGTGTGTATATAAAATATAATATATCTACATCTATATCTATCTATCTATCTATCTATCTATCTATCTATCTATCTATCTATCTATC